ATAAGTTAGTACTTAAATAATTTTATTCTGAATAAAATCATTTGAGTCTACCTTGTCTACCTACTTGTTACATAGCTATTTTTGAACCATGATCTCAAATAAGGAAAATTATATTTTCCCGAGAAGACAAGCATTACAATTTTTAATATTGTTGCATTAATTTAGTTTAGATTTTTAATTTCCTAAAATGCCTTAAAATAGGGAAAGCCAAACCAAGAAACATAAAAAAAAAAACAATTAATTAGTGATGTTGCGCGACGTCTGTGGTATCGATAGTAATAAATAAGTACTAAATAAAATATTAAAAATGTTTGTGTTCCTTAAATAAATAAATTAAAATTAAAACGTTAACATTAATAAATAAGTATTACTTTCTGTAAGGATAAACTTATTATTATTATAATATAGCGAGTTAAATAAATTGTTGAGAGCTAAATGTTTGCCCTTATGGTTTATTAAAGCAGCATTGATATTTGTTTAGTTAAGATTTTCTTTGAAATAAAAATATTTATATGTTAAATCGGATTTTTCCTGCCCTGTCCAGTTGTCCACTACAGATTATGTACAAACAAAATTACAACTGACCTGACTGAAATTGTTTCGAGATACTTGACCTTTAATTTAAGTGGCACTGTTCAATGTCAATGTTATCTGTTAGATAAACTAATTGACAGCTTTACAAAGTTTCACATTCCATGTTCGATAAAATTGTATGCTCCTGTACCCAAATATGAGGACCTTTAAGTTGGGATAGGAAGCAAATGCTACAGTTTGTTTTATCAGGCATAATCAGCTAAATAGATTATGATATTTGATGTGCACGCTGAACCGTTTGTTGTGAAAGCCTTGTGGGAAATCTTTGTGCAGCAGTGGACGTCATTTGGCTGAAACGAATGATGTAAAAGAAATATTCTTTCATAATAAAATCGAAACAAACGAACGAATAAAATCATAATGGCAATCTCGGAAGGGCTAGTGAATAAATACAACCAGAAAAACATTACACCACGATCACCATCAGAGATAATGAGTGGTTCATTCACTGCTTAGAAGAATCATAACATAATCATCTTAAAAATAATTTACAATTTGTTATCCTTCCAGTTTTTGCGCACTTACAACCAGTCGTTGAGCTGAGATAGCAAGTAGGGCATGAATATCGGAATCTCGGAATCTCGTAATATCGGAATCTCGGACTGCGAGATCCGATATTTCAATTCCGATATTGAGCGACCCAATACCGTAATATCGGAATCAGATAAAAGTTTTAATTGAGATTTTAAACAAATCGTTTAAACTCGCCACAACCTGCCACAAAGCCCAAAGTACATGATTGGCAAAGACCAATGATTTTCTCATGTCTCTCACCATCACCACTGCAAATATTTTAATATCTTTACTATTTATGGTTAATTTAACTTGTTCTAAATCAATTTTAGCATTTGCCATAGGTACTTGGTCAACAAAGAACGACATCTCAACTCTCTTTCAAACATTAATTTTACTGGACTATGGACCGTCAGTTCTGCGTACTATGTGCCCTGCCCATTGCCACTTCAGCTTGCTAATCCGGAGCTCCTCATTTCTGATTAGATCTCGTAAAGAAACACCAAGCTTATCCCTCTCCATAGCAGGTTGTGCCCTATATTCAAAGGCCACGTTTTCGAGCCGTATATCATCACTGGTAACACACACTAATTGAAGACTTTCGTCTTCATATTCGACGATTTACCTCTTTCTCGAAATTGCATCTAACTACCTAGCTGATCGTTTGTCCCAGATAGACATACTTACTTGTCAACAATCTCGAGAATCGAGCTCCTAACCGAAACTGGGTAAGGAGCAACATGGACATTCGACATAAGCTTCGTTTTTTCCATATTCATCCGAAGGCCTACCTGTTGGGAAACTCGATTAAGGTCTTCGAGCATTGTGATAAGGTCTTCCAATGGTTCTGCCTTAGTACGCAAAACAGACGGACNAATATAGCGAATTCAAAAAAAAGTTAGGGTGTGCGTTAAAGGGTTAAGTTGGGATAGGAAGCAAATGCTACAGTTTGTTTTATCAGGCATAATCAGCTAAATATATTATGATATTTGATTTGGACGCTGAACCGCTTGTTGTGAAAGCCTTGTGGGAAATCTTTGTGCAGCAGTGGACGTCATTTGGCTGAAACGAATGATGTAAAAGAAATATTCTTTCATAATAAAAACATAATGGCAAACTCGGAAGGGCTAGTGAATAAATACAACCAGAAAAACTTTACACCACGATCACCATCAGAGATAATGAGTGGTTCATTCACTGCTTAGAAGAATCATAACATAATCATCTTAAAAATAATTTACAATTCGTTATCCTTCCAGTTTTTGCGCACTTACAACCAGTCGTTGAGCTGAGATAGCAAGCCTTTTTTTGTCAATCGTTTCTTACAATCTCATACGATATTATTTTCAAATCTCGATTTCATAATACTCGGTTGAAGTGTTTTAAATATGTAAGAACTTATCTTCATAATAATGAAGTCTACTTATCATATAAATGAAACAGGATAATAAAATATAATAATTATTTTAGATAAGCATCGCGATTTTGCGATGAGGATAATTTTTTTAAAACAGAATTGTTCGATTTCCAGTACACAGAGATTCTAATGCAATATTAGAGTCATTTACACACGATTATGTATTTATACAAACACGTGACAGATCAAGTCTAGCTCATACCATGCGTTATTACGAGATTAGTGTGTGTATTTAATAAAATTGACCTAGCAGTCTGATAAATAACTTGTATTATGATTGATTAGTAAATATTGTGACAAGTATTACTTCTAATAATCATAATGATAATATTGAGTACTATTAATACCAAATGAACATTGCAACTTTAAATCTTAATAATTTTGTACGAAAGTCATTTCATTGTCCAGGAATGGAAGAAGGAAAACACCTTATTGTAATTATTTTGCAAGTGACTTTTCCTTATTTGCAATAACATCATTTCTCAGCATAAGTTTCTTGTTTGAAGGCTTTTGCTAAATCATCCAATATTTATTTAGTCTAGTTTTTCTCAGAAAGATTGTTACTTATCCATCAGCAAAAGTATCGAAGGATTTTTGCAAATCTTTTCAGAAAAGAAATTGTGTCACACAGAACAGACAGAACAGCGTAAGAATGCGCCCGTTACCTAAATAACTTCAAATTACGTAAGCAAAAATTTTCACGTAAATAATGGACAACTTCTTCATTTATAATAAACTCTACTGAATGTTTGTTATTCGTCTGACACCTTCACTGGCCTTGTAAGCAAATAGATTTTCTACGATAATCTGATTGGAGATGTCACACTGTCAAATGGACGAATATGAGCTTAGGACTCAGCAGTACTCAGCACATAATACCTCTAGAAGTTTGACTATTTGACTAACACCGAATTTACCAAAATTAGTGCAAATTTTATAAGTCAACAAGGTAATATCCATATTAGCAAATATGAGACGCCTTTGTGAAACGCTTGTGTCGCGTATTGTAATTGACATCATCGAAATTCTATTTATAAGCGTCTGTGTGTCTTTCCCAGTTTTTTTTAATGAACTAAATTTTTAAAATGTTATTGCGAATTTGGAACGTGAATATTGTGATTCCCCGATCACACGGTGCGCATGTATTTTAATTATGTTATCTTGATTTCTATAGTTCACTATGACCTGTTAACTAATAAATGTTAAAACTCAATTTACCGATTCTACAAACATCGGCATTATAGAAACTTGATTCTTACTGAACTGTCTCCAATATTAAAAACAATGTTCAGAACATGAACACCAATGAAATGAGACAATGAAGATGAGCCTTACAACTGAAATTCGAGAATAACGAAGTTGAATTGAATTGTATAGAGGTAACAAAGAGAGTGTGTTTCTAATTAGTATGTAAAGAGGTTACTCAGAGTAAATGTACAACGCTTAGTAATGAAAAAATCTTAAATTAAACCATATTGCTCAATCCATTTAAACCAATGACTGTCTAGGATATTTTATGTAGAGAAACAGGTTTGCTTATTTTTATTTCAATGTTCTTATTGGTGTTAGTATTTGAAATAAAAAATACTCAAAATTAAGTCAGTACTATGAACTCTTTCATTTAATTTTGGATTACAATGGTTTATGATGTGGATCAGCAATAAAGATTTAAATTGTAGAAACTTACAATTTTATCATTAAGGCAAACAGATAATCTCAAGAAAGATTTACCGTGTAAGCATAAGTGAGACGATAAAATAAGAAGCCAGACAAGAAACGTATGATACCTATCACTTTTTTGAATTAAATACTAACACAAGGAAAAAACCTTCATGTTAAGGCGTCGAAATGCGGTACGGTTTTTTGCCACTTCATTCGTTACATGGAAATTTAATGCTTTAATGGTAGGTAACATAATTATCTGTGTTGATTTTATTTAAAGTTTTGTGTCTATATTTAATTTTATCCGTACCATTCTGTAAGGGAGTTGAAGTTTACTTGAATTGGTAATTTAATAAAGAATTTGGTCGAACTTCAAAAAAGAAGACTTTTTATCTTTTGAAGTTCGACCTTTCGAAAATACGATATCGGAGTAGGTAGGTAACTTTCGTTTTTTAATCTTAGGTCAATAAGTATGCAGAATTCATATAAAACAACATAGTACCTACACCTTCCGATAAAAAAATTGCAACAGTCCCATCGAAGCTAGGAATGACATCGAAATTCGTCAATAAACTTCTCAATTAATTTAATGACCATTATTAAATGAAATTTATTTTCATCAATACCCTGAAAGAATCATCGATAGATTTTATCCTTTACCAAAACACAACACTATTTTCAAAAAGTACATTCCCTTTTCTTAAAGTCGTCTTTTTTGCTCACCACATAACGTCGAAAATTGCTTGTTAGTGAATGACACAACATTGAAGTCAATTGATTGTATTAAAATTCGTGAAAAATGGTTTTTACATACCTTATTTATTTAAAACCATTCAGTTTATTCGTGTTACAATAATGTATAAATAACTTTGGTATATCATACAGGCTTTGGATTATGAACAGAGTAAATTTTCGCAACAAAATAATAACAACAATGTACGCACTGTAGTCTTCATTGGTTTCGGCACTTTCACTGTGAACTTGATTCTAAACGATCACAATATTCACTGACTGTTTGTCCTCGACATTGCAATCGAATTGCAATTTAATAATATTGAAATAACCTAACACACGACCACCTTGACGGAGTATGAATGAACAGCTGATCGTTCTATGTTACCAAGACGATGGGACAGAGTTGACAAGTGACAGAGCTGCGGCAAAATCAACTTTATCTTGAAAGCGATATGAGCGGTATTGATGGAAAATGCCAATACGTCAGTTTCTAGTAAAGCCGGCTACTCACTAGTCACTCACGGTTGTTGCGAAATATGTATTTTGTTTTAGAGTGCCAATTTTTCACAATGAAGTAGAAGATGTGAGTTATGTATGTAATGTTGACCGTTTGTTTTATGTATGTATGTGTATTCATGTGGCAGCAAAATAAACGTTATTCTATTCTATTCTATTCTAAAAAGTGAATTAAATAAAGCTAAACATGATACAACAGTATGGTATTTTTTGGTATTACAAAAATTAATATAATTTTCCACATTTTAATATACAATATAATATTCTATCTAAATTAACCAATAAATTATTTGCGAGTTATTTTAATTTTCTGCTTGGCTCAAAGGTTGACTGGTAGAGAATGCTATAATAACATTAAGTTCGCCTTTTGCACTCCCTTAATTGTTTGTAAGGCTTTTAAATAAATAAAAGGGAGAATTGACTTTTTGTATTGCTTAACTAAAATTTCAGATTTATTTATTAAGCTTCCAATGTTATACTTACTAACTTCTTAATTATGTGTGAATTACCTGATTGTTGAAAAGACGGACAATTTTGTCTAAAGCTCTAATTAATTTTGATTTATCCTTAAAGTAAGCGGTCCTTAATCAGCTTAGATGTTTTATTGCTATAGATAGAATATAGATTGCTAACAGCGGCAACGCACTTTTGTTACGATGATTGATAATTTCTAAGATAAGTAAATCATGCGGCGGTTGTCGCGTGAATATCAATATCGGAATCCCACAAGGATGCGCGTGCTCTTCACGTTTTAGCGCCTGGTTACGAAACTAAATAACCAATAATGGAGATAGCAAATTATAGTACTAACCAAGTAAATTAGTTATGTATTAGAAAGATGATGACTATCATTATTATTTACAGGATCATACAACACATTCGTTTTGTACTGTTCAGTTAGTTATTTAGATTGTTGTAAGATTTTACTTAGCATTTTAATTTATTTCAAGTTTTTTTACTTTTCCAAAAGTTTGAAAAATTACGAATGTGTATTTCCTTTTAGACGGTTCTTTTGTTTGAACCAGCCTTACGTTACAGCATAAGCGCCTAGTTTATAGCGGCACGCAATATTTCATTCCTGTAACTAACTACTTGTTTTATACGTTGGCGTTGATTACTTATTTATTATCTGCCTGGTAGGTTCATTCCATGAATTTTATCTTTACCTTCATGGTTCATTAACTTCAAATAAAGAATTAAAAATTAAAACAGTCTCATAAATTGTACTAAGCAATCCGAATAGAGAACTAGCAAATGCAAGAGATTTCATTATATCGATAAAGAAACCACATGACCGTACTCCAATTAGCACATCACTAAAATCAAATGTCAACTGTCAAAAATGTTATTGTTTTGCGTGTGTCACTGTCAAAATCTGTCATTGAGATTTTTGCAAAGTTCAAATTGAAAAATAAAATACGAAATTCACATTTTATCATGTTGCTAAGCATTATTAGAGTTATTATAAAATTATTTGAAAAAGCGTTTTTGTGATACGCCCAAAAATTCATTTGTAGGCCGAGTGGCATGGTTAGTTATCTAATCATGAAACGGATTTTATTTTTACGTTTTATTTTCTAGTTTTGGACTTGTTTTGGAGTCCAAAACATTATTTATTTCTTCCAAAAGATGCTAGAAAATTCTCATATACATTCCTGAAGATTCAACTAGAAAATTTCTGTGTTAACATTATAGTTCAGGTTAGGTTGTAATCATGTCTGACGATTCAAAAGATGTTATGAGAGACACCTGGGCTCGGTATTTGGGTGAGTGTTAACGTAATTAAAGTTTCAAATAACATTCTCATCAACATTTTGTATTATGTAATAATAAAAGTGACACCAATAGGTTATGTTCCATAAAAAGTATACAAATACATTTAGTATGGTTTATTGTAGTGACTAAGACATTTATTAAAATAAAAAACGCTTCGGTGGTCAGTGGACCCAAATAATATCTCTAGTTTTTCTTGGAAGTTAAAGACATGTCTTATTTTCCATAGTTTTTAGCTGTTTACATAATTCACATTAACTCACCCCTCATCTCTAGTGATGTAATGATCGCTGAACAGATTCATCCCTCCAGGGTACTCCAACGAGGTGGGCGAGTCGTTCCGAGCGATAGCTCCGGTCAAGCTTGTTCGCGCGAGCTACGGTCTGGCATTTGCGTACGTCCTGGCCGATACTGCGGACAAAGGAGTTCGGATGTTAATGGTCAGTATGCTTAATTAAATAAATTATTTGTATTTCAATAAGAAAAGATCCTCATCATCTCTCTTACTCGCTCTGAGTAAGCAGAAGAAAAGTAAAATTGATTAAAACTCATAAAAGTCTTAAACTCATTTATTTTTGCAAATAGGCTTATAAAAAGCACTTTTACTCGTCCCAATATTAAACCTACTAGAAAGTAGAATTGATTGAAGAAGTAAAATTGATTCATGAATAACACTTTCTGATGATTCATCATCATCATCATTTCAGACGTAAAACGTCCTACGCTGGACATAGGCCTCCCCAATGATTTCCATATTGATCGGTTAGTACGGTCCTGTATCCAGCGCCTTTTTGCTAACTTCATGATGTCATCAGTCCACCTTTTGGTCCATCTTTCTGATTATTTGTTTGAAAGTTTTAGAATAGGCACACACCGTTGATTTTTCGTCGGCCGATTGTTTAGTCGGGCTGTTGATCAGTATGGGCATGTATGGGAGTGCGCACACTACGCCGATTCAATTTGGCCGTTTCTTCATACAATTTGAAATCGGGCACAACTATCGGCCAACTAAAAAGCAATGGTGTGCGCCTACTCTTAATGTTAATAAAACCTTAAAAGCTTTCCTTTTTCATGGACTAATTTAATTAATGCAAACAAATACTCTTAAAGCTTAATCATGTTTATATCCTTGTATGATTTATATCCTTTTTTATCCTTGTCCTTCCTTCCTTTCCTTCCTCTCCTCTGACGCTTACTGGTGTTATTTTAGAGCGGATTCGGTGGATTATTACAGAAAGATGGCCGCCCCAGAAATGTCATGATAGCCACCGGAGACGCTCTCATTTGGCAGACGCTAGCGTCCATTGTGATACCAGGGATTACGATTAACAGGTATGTGTTATTTTTTTACTTAAATAACCCTCCTTCTGGCGCAGTAGGGTAAAACTGTGATATGCTTACTGGTCCAATTGAGAACTTCCTTTATTTTAAGTTCTGTGTTTAGTCTGTATGTATAAGATGGGCCCAAATGATAAGAAGACATTTATAGAGCCCCTATGGGATAATTTTGTAATATTATTTTGACGTTTTTAAGTCCAAAATATTGATCAAAACTTAATAAATACTTTTCATTTTCATTAAGTATTTTAAAATTTCTTTATATTTTATTCAAAATTGTCCTGTTCATCATTCATTATTCACATTTCTGTTTGCCTGGCACGCGTGTTGTTTGCACCAGGACTTCTTCGTAAATTAACCGTATTTTTTTCGGTTTTTCCAGAATATGCGCATACTCAGGCCGTGCCCTATCAAAGTACCCAAAAATTCCTGGAGCAGTCCGTACCTGGATGACAGTTGGCATCGGCCTCGCGTCCATTCCCTTCATAGTGGTGCCCATAGATATTGGAGTCACTTTTCTGATGAACCTGACTTATAGGCGCTGGGTCCCTACTGACGATTGAGGGGGCATTTGACGTGAGACCTATGTCATTGGAGTGAGTAAATTTTGAACGCCTACAACTTTTTTTAGAGCAAAATGTTTCAGGAATGAGTGAAATTGTTCAACGTCTGCTAAATTGTCACTAGCAAATTAACAGTTTTGTAATTTTGCAGCAAAATTTTTGTAAGGTATATGCAAAATCCTCAAGTACCTATTTAAAGGTTCTAAAATGTCTTAAAGTTACTGTTTATTATATTTTTTCTAGATATTTGAGCCTAAAAGAACTTGGTGCTCTTGAATTACCTATTTATATCAAAGTATTTATAAAATTACTATAATTTTGAATTGTTTAAACAAACCTTAAACATATTTATTTACTTTTGTAAGCAAGATCGAACCCTGACTACCTTCTTAAAATTGCTGAATCTGATTATTACTTCTACAAATTATGATGAAATCTCAAAAAATCGAATCTTGTTGCTTATTTCGAGTTGGATTTTTTTGCCATTGTAAAACCTATTTTGTCTAAATTTTTAAGTAGTAGTATGTTATTATTTAATAGTGATACTTTACAATAAACAACAGAATCTATAAGAATCTCTGTCCAAAATCTTTGTAACTGGTTGTCATGTTTTGTTAAATACTCATAGAAACTTAGTCATTCCTTTTTTTAGATAAGTTATATTAGTTCAATTAAATTAATAGTTATAACGCACATGCAGGTAATGTAAAAATGCAAATGGATGGATTTAGGAGCTTTTATTTACAAGGAAAATTAGTTAAAATTTTGAAAGTATGCAATTTGCAAATTTATAATACTTTAGGCGGGAATTGAAGGAAATCTACACAAAATTGTATCCAGGCTTAAATTAAAATTAATTATAATATGCAATATTATAAGCAGCGGGAAAACTGCATCGCAGTTTCTGTATTCTCTGATATAGCTATCCCTCTCACTTCTAGTGTGATTTTGCAAGGAGTGACAGAAACAGATAGATTCGATAATACAGCTACGGCGTTAGACCCGATTATAAAGCTTAATAGGCTTTTGCAGTTATAAGTGAGTGGATTCGGTATTAATTAATGGTGTGACTATTTTTTATATTCTACGCCTTCTTCTTGTCGTGTCGACAACAAACCAACACAGCGTCGGCCCAAAACTCCGCCACAAGAATGGCGTCTACGCCTAAACAAGTGTTTTATATGTCGCGGTAAATAAAAGGGTTTTAAAAAGCGTTTTTAAAGTATTACCCATGCCGTGTCCACGCCAGAATGGTCTAGCTCATTGGTTCCCAAACTTATTTGAGACGCGCCCCCTTTCGACCATACAAAAAATTCCGTGCCCCCCCTCCTCCAGTCAAGATTATTTATTGGTCGTATCGAGCAGTCTGGAATGCATTCTCTCAGCGGTCGCAGGTTTTTTATACTTAAGTACACAGATGGCCCGCGTCCTCCTTTAAAGGTCTTTGCGTCTCCCCTGGGGGGCGCTCCCCCACTTTGGGTCCAGAAAAAGTTAGAAATAGAAAATCGATATACTTTATGATACACTTACTAATCGCTGCTTGGGGTAAAAAATAGTCACACCGTTGATGGACATTGGTAATGCGAAGTGTCCTTAATTTAACCATTAAGTGATAAACAGTAAAAATACTGGGTAATAAAATTATTTTAGGTAATTTATGGACACAAATATTTGACCGCCTTCATGCAACCGCTAGTGTAAAGGATTTGCCACTGCATGCGGTCAGCGGTCTGCGGTCACGACAAAGTGAACATCCCGCATCATGTATCAACAACATTGTCTCTACACATTTTGTATTGATGCGATCTGACTGTGTGCGCACGATCAAAGAACGAAAACCGTACCGCTGTCGCGCTGACAAATTGTCGAGCCCAGACTAGACTTGCTAGGATGCGCGCTGTGATATACTCTTATCGACGTCAAAATGTATCGGCAAAATCGATAAAATGGCGTGATAAACGCTTATCGCGGCGCGCATCCTAGGTCTACTGTAGGCCTAAGATACGCGCCGTGATAACTTTTATTGACGTCAAAATGTATGGGCAAAATCGATAAATCGATAAAATGGCGCATCTTAAGCCTACTGACCGATGTTTGTTCATACATAATGCGGGCTGCGTTCATTTTGACCTGACCGCAGACCGCATCCATTGTGGCAAACCCTTCGATGTGTATAGTCGTCAGCACATCAGTCTACAGTTTTGTTGCAAAATCGCACCTATGACAATTATGTTAAGGTGCTTTTTTAGCGTGATGGGCTGTCGTCTGTATTTTATAGAATGTTATACTCTTCCTGGATTATAAATTATAGATATTATAGGTCAATCTCGTCTTATAGGTGCATTATTTTAAAGGAACACTAAACTTAGAAATATTAGATTAGAAAATTAGAAGCTTTATCTAGAGTCTAGAGGCTGTGATCTAATAATTCCACTGAAATTTGAATTTGTATTGTCCTCTAGTAGACATGAGCGCTTTTAGATAATGTGACATTCGCTATAGACTTCGCTTCGATAAAGTCGCATGCACAAATCTACTGTTTGGTGAATGAAATGGCGACTGAACCGAAATCGAAATCGAATCTGACATTGTCTATAAGCACTGTCGATAATGTACTTCGCCCTGGAGCGAGCGAAGCTACAATTTTAGCGTCAAAAAGTAGTCGTAGCCAGAAAATTATTTAGACAAAATGTATTGTCTACACTCTACGCTGCGCTTGATGACGTGTGAGCGATTGTCGCAAGTGGCGAAGGCTAATGTCATTCCCATTATAGATTGTTTTACGAAATCGATTCGTTAACTAATGTTATATTGTCTATTCCCTCTGGTTATGTTTTTTAGTATTATAGAAATAGTGTAGTTTTTAAAGTGCCATGAAACTACCCGCCAATATGAAATTTATAAACGACAGAGACAGCAAGAGTTCTTGTCCTTGTTTTTTCAATTTCAGTGACCTCAAATAAATTATTTATTTATTATTGTTAAATCTTTATAATGTTACCCGAAAATAAATAATGATAATAAATAAAAGGAGAGTTTTATTTTAAGTTTGTTTCCCTATGTCTAAGTTAAATTAAGCTTTCATTTAGTTTTTTTTTTACATTTTCATTTACCTAATCTTATGTTTTGCCAGTAGGTATCTAAAAATATATTTTCAATTTAAACATAATTAAATAAAATAAATACAAAAGAATATAAAAATTCTTACAAAATATTCGAAACAAAAGATGAGTTAGGTCCTTTAATGATATTTTATTTATTATCGTAATCTGTGAATCACTTATCAAAAAAGATTCCTATCTCTACATTTACAATGGCGTTTAATTACTCTAAAAATAATTGGCGTTGTGAATCCGAATGAATGAACAACACAATGAAATTGAAAGGCTCTAACAAGCTGCAACAAATCCGTAATTTGAAATAATTGTTTTAGCAGCAGGTAAACAACCTGGCTCAAAATTACGGTCAAGGTTTAGAGTATATGACAGGTAGGTTCAGTAGGTTCGTCTAGATCTCCTCTAGAGATGAAAGGTGAGTCTTATCACAATAGCAGTAGCACAGTAACCGCTGCCTTCGCCGAATTCTCTTCATATACTGGCCCGAGAAAATATCCATTGGAACGCTGCCACGAAATTCCGATCGACCAGCAGATCAAGCGCCCCAAGTGGAACTGGATTGGCCACACTCTCCGAAGGGATCCCGATCACATCACCAAGCAGGCTCTGGTTTGGAACCCCCAAGGAAAACGCAAACGTGGTCGCCCCAAGCAAACTTGGCGGCGCACTGTGGCATACGAGGCGAAGAAGATCATCAAGAACAGTATGTAGCTAACAGCTCACTCACGGGATTTACTTATCTTTCCCGGGTTTGGTATAATTGCTCTACATTCTGGCTGTATCATAGTGGGGGTGGCGGAACGAGAGGTGGGAAATAATTGCGCAAGTGTTCATTCATTGAGAACCCTGCCTTGGCATTGGCTAGCCCCTGTGGCTATGTGCTGTTTGTTTTATTTCATCATCATCATAATTTCAGCCATAGGACGTCCACTGCTGAATATAGGCCTCCCCCGATGATTTCCTTTTTGATCGTTCGGTAGCGGCCTGCTAGCTTTGTTATCTTGTTTTATTTCCCTTTGTCAAATTAAAAGTTCCTACGTTTAAACCTAAGGCCTCCCACAACGATTTACACGAGTGGTCCTGCGCTACCTGCATCCAGGTGCTTCCCTTCACTAGATTCCGGTTTCCGGTCCGTGTTTGTAACTTTTCTGCCTCAACTGTTACCTTTTCTAGTCATAGAGCTTTTGGGTGACTAGGTAGGTTAGGTAGGTAGGTATAGCGGGTAGGGGATGATTAGGTGGGTAGACTCACTGCGGTGCAGCTCTGTTATGTTAGATGTATGAACACTTCGTTCATGCAATCACGACTCGAATGATACGGATTTTACTGTATTATGATATGATAAATAAATTCAAAATTAATGAGACAGATTTATTATGTTTTGTTAGCTCATAGGCCTAAGGAATTAGTGAAGCCTACCTAACCTACCTAACTACGTGTTTTAAATAACCGAAACCTGATTTTAACTCTGAAGGCATTTTGTTGTACGACTTTGATAAATTAAGATTAATTATTGGGGAAATGTAAAATGTTCATTTTGTCGACCTTCAAGTTACTTCCATCTTTCACGTGACACTTTTGACAAAATATTTAAAAACGCGTTATCACACTTTGATTACCGTATTTACCGTTACAAATTGACTTCTGTGATATGTAAAACGACCTTTACTTAGGCTGAGTTGCACCACCTAACTTTGACCGTAACTATAACGTAGTACCTACTTATTATTCTGTGCTATAACGACAACCGCACTATGGAGCGAAATTGNGAATAACTTTGGTATATCATACAGGCTTTGGATTATGAACAGAGTTCGCAACAAAATAATAACAACAATGTACGCACTGTTATCTTCATTGGTTTCGGCACTTTCACTGTGAACTTGATTCTAAATGATCACAATATTCACTGACTGTTTGTCCTCGACATTGCAATCGAATTGCAATTTAATAATATTGAAATAACCTAACACACGACCACCTTGACGGAGTATGAATGAACAGCTGATCATTCTATGTTACCAAGACGATGGGACAGAGTTGACAAGTGACAGAGCTGCGGCAAATTCAACTTTATCTTGAAAGCGATATGAGCGGTATTGATAGAAAATGCCAATACGTCAGTTTCTAGTAAAGCTGGTTACTCACTAGTACTCACGGTTGTTGCAAAATGTTATGTTTTGTTTGAGAGTGCCAATTTTTCACAATAAGTAGGAGTTGTGATTTATGTATGTAAAAAGTGAATTAATAAAGCTAAATATTTATTTATTTATTTATTTATTTATTTATATTAGGGAAACAAACAATTATTATTATTAGGGAAATATGATACAATAGTGCAGTATTTTTTGATATTACTCAAAGGATGACTGGTAGATAATGCCATATGCCATTAAGTTCGCCTTCTCATACTATTGTGGATAATATTTTTAAATTGGTAAATAAAGGGGAGACCTATTGTATTATTTTCTTGGAGCTACACAATTTAATATTTCACCATTACGTATTTATTAAGCTTCCATAGTATTATAAGT